GACTCACTATTAAGATCCTTGGAAGACAATCTTACTCATTCACAAGTGATCACCCATTATCATCATCATAGGCTCCCCACCTGTTTAAGATGGAGAGTCATGAGGCACTCATTATTTCTGATAGGGAACTCATTGGGTTGGTTTTTGAGTTCATTCTGAATGGCAAAACCAGCTCCATGAGGTCAGCATTCTCTTTCCTATTTACCCATCCAGAAGAAGGTATAGATGCCTTCATGTTCTTTGAGTTTCCCATCTCCCACACAGTGGATATCACTCAGTGCAGCCACACTGATGCTGTGTCACTTGAGTTCTCAGGCTGCAGTTGAAGTATGGCACTCTGGGCATTCACTATTAGGGTTGTCTCTAGGGTCCTGATGTTCCAGGTCTTGAAAATGATGGTGCGTCTTCATTGGTATTTTCAACTGCAGTTAAGTTGATCCCAGTGGATGCAGTTATCCAGTCAAGAAGAAATACAAAATACTGTATTAGACAGGCTATGTTTAAGGCACCTTTTCTAGCCCCCTCCCCATGTGGGGTGAGCAGAGTTGATCCTGAAGAAGGCTGTGCGGTCACAGTTACAGCTGCTGAATTGCACTTCTGTGTAGTCCGGGTGTTAGACAATCTTCTTGTAACCACTGCCCTCATGGCAGTGTACAACTAGGAGCTTCCAGAACTCACAGTCCTGCTCCTGTTGCCATTAGCTCATCTCCAAAGGGCTTCAGGAATGTGCTGGAAAGGCTGTTCTCATGGGGAATGCCTGTTCATGATTTCTTTTATTGTGGAGAAATTGCTACCCATTGGCTCTTGACAGAATGGGACCTAGATCCAATGGCAAGGAGACCAAGACCACTGGGGATCTCATTCCAATGAAGCCTTCATCCACCTTCACAGCCATAGAGATTCTTATATCCTCGCCCATCTGTCCTGACATCGAGGACTTGCAGACCACAGCTGGGGCTGGGCAGGCTTATAGTGGTGACCTCTACTCTCCATTTCACAGCACTGTCAAAGGATATATGTGGCTTTTCAGGAAGGAAACCATTGCCATCTGCTGCCCTCACCACATCCTGAGGGTGCTGCCGCTGCTTGGTCCACAACTGCTTACTCGTCAGAATTACCCCTACTTATTTCACAGCTAACCTTCCCCAAAGGTCACTCCACTACCCAACACCTGCAGACACGCTGGGTAGCAGCACAGCTCTGCCCCACAAAACCCGACTGACTCTTCTGTCTTGAGTCTCCAGTGGAAGTGGGAGCTGTTGCACTGTGGCAGTAGTTTGTCGCTGTGAATGAAAAAAAACAGCATGACTCAAATCAAGAAATATGAGATCTAAGGCTTCCTCTTTTTTGCAGCGAGATCCAGGTGCTGTCTGGAATAATAATGGGATAAAGGTAAAAGTATTTTCTACAAGCCAAGTCTCGGAAGCCAAAGATAAGAACGGGGGACCTTTCCCTCTCTCTCTTTCTTGTTGTCTCTCAATCACGTAGCAAAATAGCAATTATGAATGAGAATTATGAAACGTTACAATGACTACAACTATTTAGGGCTCTGTGTTTGTGTCTCTCCTTTTAAGTACAGCCTGGCCTTGAATGAATTCCCCTAGTACCATTGAGTCTGGTTATTTTCCTGTCAGGTCTTATTGTGGTTTCTACCCAGACTCCTATTTCGGATCATCTTGTCAGCTTTCTTTTGTAAGTTAGCAGTGTATGGAGGAGGGAAGAAAAGAAAAAAAACCAGAGAGTGGGGCTTATGGGAAGACAGTTAGCATACACCTTGTCAGCAAGGCTGACCGCAACCCAGCTGAGACAGATAAACAGACTTAGCATCTGACGCCTGCCTGGAACAAACAAGCAGCAGCTGTTTATCAGGCAGCCCTCAGCCTTCGCCAAAGGAGGTAAATAGCTTTATGCAGATGAGTCTCCCACGTGCCCTTGCAACAGAGTGTCTTTGGTGGCCACTCCAGCAGCCTTCTGAGTCGCAAGTTCCAGCAAAAACCAGACAAGTGACACGCGGCTCAGAGTTCCCCGAATAGAAGGTCCCGTCGTGCAGCTCCTTTATGTCTATGCCATTGCTTTATTTTTGAAACCCATGCTTCTGCATAATGAAGAAACAGCCATGAACCTGTTAGGTTTGGAAGCATTTGATGTGAACCTCCTCATCTCCATACTGTGCCATTTGAAAAAGTATTTGTTATTACTTATTCCATCTGGGTCTCAAGCATCATTATGCCGAATTTTCCATGGCCATTCTGTAATAAGGACAGATACGATTAGCAAAAACTCCCCTCCTGATCCTCATAAAAAGTGAACAGCATTTCCGAAGCACAAAAATGAGCCTCCATTAACTTATTATGTTTTATATAACTGTCCAATTTTACCTTAAATCCTTTAATAATACTTGATTCCACCACCTCAGCGGGACATCTCCTGCATCTATTCATCACTCTGCACATAATATCTCCTCAAATTCTTCTTCGATGTAGCTCCCCTCTGATCTGAAACTTCCCGCATATTCCTTAATGGAGGTCTGTTCATGGACCGCGTGTAGATTATATAGCTAAAATGTCTTGGGCAGTTTAAGTTACTGCGTCAGAATTTCTAACTCCAGATCCTGAATTCAAGCTACATAAGTTCTGTATGGTGGTAAACTTCACACCTAGTGTTTCCTGAACTTAAAGGGACACAATCCCAAGGTGAACCTTTCCAGCTACCCAGGAGTTCATAATCACCTCCTAGAGAAGCCTTGGTTAGCTGTGCATTCCAGGCAAGACCCAGGGAATTTAGAAATAGAGCTTAGATTAATTTCCAACCATGTCACCTCTATTTACACTTCAGGGAAGATGATTTAATCTCAGACACCACCAGTCTCTACTCGCTTGTGAGTTCCTGCACTCCATGAAGCATCTATATTGCCCGGCATTGTACACTTTCCAATTTAATTTTATCTCATGTCAAAGAGGGGTGACCAGACCTGGATGTAGCACTTCAAATGGGATTTTATAGTTATAAAGTGATAGTGGAGTATCCTCAGACTTCTCTTGAGATGAGACAGTTCCCATTGTGTCCTCTTCCTGCTACTGAACAGCAGAATGTGATTGGGTTTGTCACTACACCTAAATCATGAGCACCAAGATACTACAGTGCTGGGTGCGACAGAAATACCCATCTACACAGAGAGAACATCTTCTCCTCTATGACATTAATTAATTCAGTGCTATTTTAACTGTTCTTGGGGAAAGTGTAATCCTTGCTCAAGTGCATCCTTTATACTTGGACGTGTGATAATTCAGATTCTACTAGGCACCCCCAAAAGCTTTAAAACATAGCCAGATGGGGAAAGGAAAACCCATACATATGAGTTGCTGTCCTGAATGATCTTCTCTGATATCACCTCAAAGTCATTCGGGATGTTGCTACCATCCTGTGCCTTAATGCGACTAATAACATTAATATTGGTAACTAACAGTTTTCTGCCTATTGAACAATTAATGGAAAGGTCAATGAGAATTCTCTGTAGAGGTATTGTTCATTACAAGGCCCATTGCTTATGCAATCTCGCAGTATCACTCTTCCCAAACAAGCAAGAGGGCTGGAAATGGCAGCTTCTAAACATGCCCATGAACTTTTAATTAGCAGGCATAATTGTAGGAAAGCCATTAAAACATTACTCTTCCAGCCCATTGCTTCTTTGATGAGTTGAGTGGTGCCTACATTGTCGTGGGGTTTTTTCTTTCCCCTGATGAAGCAAGTGTATGTTAAATGAAGGCTGGGTGACACTACTTGCGGTGCGGGCACTTGTTAGCAACACTGATGTTAGTGATGCTTCAGATGACTCATCTACTTAGAAGTCCTCTTTCAATCTGTCTTGACCTTCTTGAAAGAGAGACATAGTTAAATCTGTTAATCTGAAGCCAAGTAGAGGACAAGGTAGATTTGCACTTTGTAGGCTAGCCAAAGTATCTACCTATCTATCTATCTATGGCACAAGCTTTTGTGAGCAATGGCTCATTTCATCACATATTGTGAAAGGACATGCAGAAAGCAGTGCATAAGAAGGAGAGAGAAATTAGAATAAAAAAGTCAAGGGAGGAGGAGAGAGAGAGGCAGAGGAGGGGCAGTGGGGAGGGGGACAGTACCGGAAACAAGCAGCAAACCCATAGGAACAAGGAGTCACAAAAGCTAATCCAGATAATGGGCTAAGAATCCCAATGAAACCATTCTTAACACAGTTCATAATTTTCAACTCAGATAGGTTTTTTTTAAAGTTTGAGAACAGCCACTCAGGTCAGCGATGGAGTGTCCAGAAAGGTTAATGTATGCTGCAGGCTTTTGTGTCTTTCTGCACCTAATGTCAGACCAGGCATGAGCCTGGTGCTAGGGACTACTTCTGTGAGTCAGGACTGCAGGGTCTGGTTCTTCTAGTGTAAGATGGATGCTGCTCTATAGTCACCACTTACTGCCCACAGCTGCATGAGGGTCAGGGGTTCCTCTTTTCTCCACTGTCACTGTCCTGGGTTTTGTCCTACAATGGCTGCACTTCTCAAACTCCAAGTTTTGAGTTTCAGCCAATTCCATATCTCAATGCCAAACTGATGTTGAAACCTGAGTTTCTCCTGGCCAGACATCAAAGCTGTGGGACACCCCAGCGTGTCCTAGAGTTCATTACCAGGAGCATGTATCACTTCTAAGTTTGTTCCAAATGGATCCCAAACTACATGGCTGATTCACTCCAAAGTTGCTGCTGCCTTAGGGACCCTCTCAGCAAACCTGCCATGAGTCCTAGTAAAAACCTAATGAGTTTCACATCTTTTCTTTGCAGGTGTTTTTCCTACTACTGGCTCCACCCCAGAGGTGGCTGTGGGGGGCATAGGCGTAGCAAGAATCCCAGTAGAGGATGGGTCGAGCACTTTGGGATCCTTTGCAACCTTCTAGAAATGTCACTTGTTGTTTTCCATTCCTGCATTAACCATAATTTGTTCCCCTCAACCCACTCCCTGCAGATGTGCAGCATATTAAGAGGCGAGACATTGTTTTGAAGAGGGAGCTGGGAGAAGGTGCCTTCGGGAAGGTGTTCTTGGCCGAATGCTACAACCTCAGCCCCACCAAAGACAAGATGCTGGTGGCAGTGAAGGTAAATGTCAAGGGCGTATGGATCAGAGCGTATCGGAGGCTGGATTCCAAAGCACGGCCAGCTGATGCTCCCTGAGAAGGAGGGGTCAGGGAGGTGGGGGGAGATTTCCCAGATGCCGTAGATTATAGTAAATCCACTTAGTCACACGGAGTTTCAGCATCTTGCTCAAGGTCATCTCTTCATGCCAATGCCAGAACCTCCTCTCCTGCCAATGTGGCCAAGAGGCAGTGAGGAAAAGCTGCATCATCCAGGTTGGGAAGCTAAAGCTGACAGGCATCTCCAGAAACAATGCATAGGATTTACCCTGCCTCTGGGAGGGGCTGGGGGCACCTCCCCCACTTCATCCTCCTTTCACCCAGGCATTTGCTTTGTGTTTCACTGCAGCTGTCCAAAATGAAGCAAAGAGGCCTCCACTAAAAATCCCAGAATCACCAGTTTGCTGGGATGATCTGGCAAATCCAGATAGATCCACCTTCGTGCTGGCTTGGCCATCGGGGCAGTGCTACGGGGGCATTTGAGGGGGAAATAGCCACCCCAAAATTTGCCTTTGCCCAGCCATAGCTACCCCTCCCAGTACAGCCTCTGTCCAAGCCCCTTTCCTTCCCCCAGCCACGCACCCTGCACAGCTCCCACCTTGCAACTCATTGTAGGTAGTTGTTGGACCTGTAGCTAAGATCTTCATTAACTTGTACTATTAATTTACATATCTAAAGTAACTTGCATCTTGCAGGATCAGGCAGCCTTTTATAGAAGCCCGATTTCACCTATCTGGAATGCACCCTCCTCTATGCCACTTGGCCGCTGTTTGGTACCACACAGTCCGCTGCACTATGTTAGAAGAGCAAGAATATGATATACAGTTAAATCCACAAAAGGAATTTAAGAACTTCAAACAGAAGCCCCAAACTTAATCCTACAGGAGAACTGAACTAACATTGCTCTTCTGAAAAGTGCTACAGGGTCTGTATTTACAGAGGTTTGCCAAAGATCTGTGTTACAGGGTTACAAGGAGAACTGGGACTGGCTAGTCAGGCAGACTGGGAAATGAGCCACAGTAACCAGATGGGGATGCTGATATTGGAAGAAGAACCCAGGAAGAGAGACTGGAGCTGGGAGCCAGTGGATCCAGGGAAAGGATGAAGACGGATGACTAGAGACCAAAGTGGAGAAGACAGAGAGCATACAAGGAGGCAGCAGAGGGTGCAGTGGGACTGCAAACAGGGCAAAAAAACGGGGCCTGTAGATTCCAAGGGGTCAGAGTAGGACTTCCCACACAACAGACAGGACTGGAGAGGCCTGATGAGTGGAGATTGGGGCTGGATAGTTGAGGGAAATGGGGCTGGGACCAGGAGCCACGGATAGGGAAGAAGCAGGGCTAGGACAAGTGCAAGTTGGAAGGAATATGACATAAAAATCACATGGGGGAGAACTGCCAGTGCTTAAGGGCCTTGTTACATGGTAATTTTAAGTGGCTCTTGGAGTTCTTAACCCCTGAATTGTCCACACATTAACACCTTGAAGTGTTTTTAAGCACTTGCTATACAGTTCAAAGTCACACCACTCCAGGGTAGGGATATCTCTGATCCTCACTACCCAGCTTCTGTTCTGTTAAGGTGTAGCCACTTCCCTTAGATGTGCCACCCAAGTTGAAGTCCTCCAGTATCCCAGGATCTCTTACATCCCCACTCCAAGAACAGGGATAGAAGCCTGCCCTGACTCCCCAGACCGCTAGTGCCAGCTCACAGCTGCAGCTCCTAGTCCTGCCCCTGCTCACCAGGCCTCTGGTGGCAAGTCATAGTTATGCAGGTGGGGGACAGTCAGAGATTTCCAGACTCAGGGTGTGACTGCTTCAAACTCTAAGCTAGCATTAACGCCCGTCAACATCGTTGCAGCTCACAGCATAAGTGTAACAACTCCCTAAAAAGTTCAGTCCCTTTAGAGCCTGAAATGGCATCCAAGGTGCCTGAGTCTTCACTTTGCAGAGAGGGGACTGAGGGAGGTTAAGGTGAAGAGTATCCATTAATTGTGAATGCCCAATTTGCAATGCCTGTGACTGACGTCTCGTAGTCTCTAATATCATGTAGCATTTTGCATGGGCAAGGCACAGCTCCCATGGGCACCTGTGGTAGACAGGAGTGCTCTCAAGGTCAGGCATCCAGTAAATATGGAACTCACAATTAGTGACATCCTAGGACAAGTCAGTTTAAGTGACTTGTCCAGCATCAACTGGGAAGTCCATGATGGAGGCAGGGCTGCAATCCAGTCCTCCAGGGGAGCATTTAGCTGTCTTAGTTGTGAAGCCATCTTTTCTCTTCCTGCAAATCTCACCGTTGTTCACTTCACCCCTTCCAACTGCTGCATTTCTTAACTTCTAAGTGTTTGACATTGTCACCTTAATGACATTCCTCTAATATATTTTTGAGATCTCTATATATACACACGTACATATATTCCTGATACCTTTTAGAAATGACAGTGTGTTAAGGAAACCTAAAAGTCATTGTGCCTTGAAATATCACAGCCAAATATAGCGTAAGGGGGGAAAAGAAAGAAGGGTGACGTTGGGAGGGGGAAGCTATTTTCTTGGAAAAGTGTAGCATCAACATTATGAAGATATTAAATGACTAAAAGTAATCGGGTGCTGAGATAAGGATGGATGCTTTGCCATCTGCACAGTGTAACTATCATCCATCTAAATATCTCTAGTCAAGCTATCCCCTGAGGGCAGAGAATTAAAATAAAATTATGCTGTGTGTCTGGTGGGTGTGGGGTAGCAGAAGGAGGTAGGGGGAAGGGCCTCAGAGTTGGGTAGGAGTCTGTAGAGAAAAATATTGAGGAATGGAGGATTTACCCCTTCCAAAGGGTAGCGTCTGGCCAGGCCAAGCCAAGGGACAGGCTAGATTTCAATGAGGCATGGACCTCACTCAGGAGATTCACAGTTTTGTATTGCCCCAAGCGCTGCTTGCTCTTTCTTCTCCAATGACATCAATGCACAGGAGGAAATTGGAAATGTGAGAGCAGATGAAGTGGGAAGATGCACCCCTTGGGAGGGACAGGCTGAAGGCAGGAGCCATTTCAAGAGATACTGTTAAGATCAATCAGCCCCAAATCTGACCTGCCTTTGCCCAGTGTTTGCCAAGCCTCTGTCATTGCTGCAGTGTCTCCCTCCCTCCCTGAAATGTGTGCGCTCTTTTTTTCCCCAAGTTAGGTGATAGCAACTCCCTTGCAATAATGAAGCGTTGTCTTGAAACCAACTCTCATAAGCGATTACACAATAATACAGCAGTGTGTGTAGCTCACTCAGCAGGCTGTGGCAACTTTACAGGCAACCCTACAATAACAACCCCGTGCGTACAGTCCTCCGCTTGTAAATGATCCCATAACCAGTGTGCTCAAATGTGCTGGATGAAGCATTTTGGATAAGGATACAGAGTTCAGCATCAATCTCTTGGGGGAGCTGTTATAAGTAGCGGGGAATAAAAAACCAATTTTAAAAATTATGAGAAAAGTCTTAACAGTGTCCTTCTGCAAGAGGCATTGTGAAAAATCCACACAATAACTGTCCAGCCAGGCAAATCCATCTTCAGAATAAAGGAGATGCAGTCAGCTATTTCAAAATAAAAGATCGAAGTGACTGGCTGGCTCAGGAATTTAATAGTAATGAGATATAGAGCCTTTCACCTCTAGGTCACAGTAGTCACCGGTAGAAATCCTGCCCAAGCTGGTCATAATAGCTATTACCCTCGGAGGGCCGTTTGCTGCTGTCTGGGAAATGAGCTGGGCTATCTGACTCATGCTCCGAGCTGGTTGGCGCCTGCAGAGAGAGAAACACTTTCACAGTTGGCATTAACTTGCCCCATTTTTGGCAGCCTCAGCAGAGCTGGATGGGTCATGAAGCTGTAGCTCCTCTCACAAGTCCTTTTCAGGTCCAAGCTGAGGCTTGTATTTGGGGCCTGGAGAGAAGGCACTCACGTTTATTTACAAACCTGGTATAAGTTTGCAGGTGTAAATAACACTGGAGTGTGGAGCAGACAGGCACACAGCTATTAGCTGCATGTGGGAGGTCCTATTAGAGCACCTCACTATTTGGGTAGCAAGGGGATAGGTAATAGCCTTTTTGCTTATGTAAATGGATCCCCTGTGCCAAGCTGCAGACATATGACACATACCCCCGTGCACCTAGCACTGGCCTAGTTTAACTCCATATTTCCTCAAATACGTCTACACTGAATTTGAGTAATTAACACTGGCATAAAGCTGTAGGGCATCTGTCCCCTCTTGGTTTGCACTGCGGCAAAGACTGATTGAGCAACGCAGGCATATTGTGAATCCAGGCTCTCAGGGAGGAAAGGCCCGCCAAAACACTTGGCTGTGCTGATGTGAGCTCAGCAATTGGGTTTTATGCCACAAGCCCAAGGCCTCCGGCATTCAGAGAGGAACTTTTCTTTCAGGAAAGTGAATATATCCCTAAATCCATGACCTTTCCTACCCCCACTGAGAAGATGCTTCTGGTTTCTTTTTGGGGAAAGCAAAGAGATAATGGATGTAGCATGCCTTACAGTGGAGCGGAGAGGCTTAATCCATTCTTGTTGGTAAAACTGCATTGTGATCCTGGTGTAACAAGCCAAGTCGAATTGTCGCTCTACAAGATTATCGACCCCCGGGAACTCAAAGCTCGAGAGACTCAGCCGAGTCGTTCTGCCTCACCCCTGCAATCCTCTGTGTGTGTGCTCCCCCTTCCAGGCCCTGAAAGACCCCACTTTGGCAGCCCGCAAGGACTTCCAGAGGGAGGCAGAGCTACTCACTAACTTGCAGCACGAGCACATCGTCAAGTTCTATGGTGTCTGTGGTGATGGAGACCCCCTCATCATGGTCTTTGAGTACATGAAGCATGGGGACCTGAATAAGTTCCTGAGGTGAGTGCAAGTCAGATCCAAAGTGAGGGCCAAGAGAAAAAGGGCTCTCTCTCCTCACCCTGCCTTAGCAGCTAAGTCAGCAGTATCCCAAAGGTGGAAGTGTCTGGTGACCATTTGGTGGCCTGTGTAATGTGGTTTGGTCATTCCCAATTCGTCATGTAAATGACGTAACTCAGTGTCACAAGGCCACTCCTGGGCATGGCACTAGCATGCCATCACCTCCTCCCTTTGTGGGCAGTAGCCAGGGGCTCAGCAATCATGGAGAATGGACTTCTTCCCCAGCCCAAGAGGCAGATGTGAGGCAGGAGGCAGCATGGGGAGAAGTTGTCTTTGCTTTCTGAGGAGAGCCCAAAGGGTATCAAATCAATGCCTTTCAGTGCCTGTGACACTACCACCCAAAGCAAACCCAAGTGCTGAACCGACCCAGCCATAAAGTCTTTCAGCTTTGTAGAATTGAGATTGTGGGTGCATTTGGTTTCCATGTGTTTTAGTCCTTGATTCCAGATGGGGCCAGAAACAGTAGCTCCTTAGAGACGCTATGTGGTTAGGGTTCCTGATATGGCTCATTCATGGGGTTGTCGGATTTCCTGTGATATTCCCACATCTTATTTTTAGGTCCAGAGAGGGTCTGAGCTATTTTGGAGGAGCCTCCGACTTTTGGAGGTACCTGTAGAATCCAATACTGGGCTTACCAGTTCTGTTTAGAGGCCCTGAATGTGGTACAAATAACCCTAATCTTGGGGAGCATTTGGAGTGATTGTGGCTGGCCACAGAGCACTCATTCCTCCCCTGTCTCTAGAGCAGTACGGATTAAAACTCCAGCTCTTTGCCTTGTTTGTCCCCTATATTGTGGGTCATTCACACACTTTCTCTCCTGCACCTGAGTGGTGTGGGGCAGAAAGCAAATTGATCAGGATGGTTTTGATGCTGGTCTCCTGTGATGCAGAAATCACTCTCTAAAACTTGTAAGTATGTGGAGTGGCGCTTACCTCTTGAAATAATTACTGGTTTTATTTCCCAGTATTTAGAAAATTGGACCCTTGGTATTTTTCTGTTTTGACTGCTAAGTGCGAGCATAATTGCATTAGGAACGAAGAGCCGAACACATCAGTGCCAGAGCTGGGGCTCTGATGCTCATGGAGATTATTGCTCCACCGTTACAATTGATTTCTGACCGAGAAAAGCAAATCCTTCCCCAAAGATGTTGGTTATTAAGCACTTGCCCAGGCTGCAAGAGACTATGGAAAGGACCATAAGGGGTTTGTCCTTCCTGCCACAGTCAGAACCAAGCTCTGTGGAGCTCCAAAAAGGAGGCCCTGAAATGTACCTAGGGTTACAGGTGATGTAGGATGCCGAGGGCAGAAACCAATGTCCCGGCACAGCTGCTCCACTTCAATGAGTGAAGCAAACTGCGTCCAGTGTCCCACAGGTCAGGCCCTGCCGGTCCCAGGAGCAGCGGGGGCCCAGTCCTGGGGCACAGCACTTGGGGGACCCCCTCTGCAAATGCAGGTTTCCCTGCTAGCAGAAGACCACCCGGGAAATGTTTACGGCGACCTCTGTTTCTACCCTGACAGGCTGGAGTACAGCCCCACCATTTTGCTCCTCAAGCCTGTGGGGTCTGTGTGGCTCTATGCAGATTCAGGAGCAGCGACTGCTCAGCTCAGGCCCTACCCCTGCCCTGGATTATGAATTTCTGGGCAAGTCAGAAGCAACAAAGCATGGCACCATATTAGTTTTATGAAAGAGGGCTCTCACTGCCAAATTCAGAGAGAAAAAAGACTTCCCCACTGTGGAGCTTTTCCATTTCATTGCCATGCATTACATGGGGCCCAGTGCCTCTCCCTGCCCTCACTCTCGGTTTGTGGTTGCACGTTTGGATGAGGCAGTCAGTTAGGTCAGGGTGGAAATCCAGCACGGAGAGCAGCACCTCAGCCTAGTGGACACTGAAGGAAGCCAGCTTAGAGAAGAGCATATTGTAGAAAAGAAAATCCATCTGCTCTTAGTTAAAGCTTTTTCTCAGAGGGGTGGGAGGGTGCCGGGGAGCCTGCCTTATCTTCCTTAAGGCTAGACAGATGTTATACGTAAGTCAAAGCCTACATCACTAATCTAGCAGCTCATTTAATTGACCTAACCAATACAACATGCCAAGACAAGCTTGCTGGGTGCACAGTGCACCCTGTGTGAAAGGGCACTGGTGCCTGCTGCCAATGTTTTTGTATCCTGGCAGTCATTCACACTCCAGACTGATTCCTTGAAACCATTCTGTCCCTGTGTTTCTAGTGTTGTCTTGTGCTTAAACCACAACATCCCGCCTGCTAAATAAGATCCCTCGTGACTGAGGAGTCCCTACTGATCTATAGCCGTGGGTTTTTTTCTAGTGTCACCTGTGAGAAATGCTGTCTGATGCCCATTTCAGGCCCCACTGCTCTGGTGCCATACTTTGAAGGAGACCGGTCCTCAGATTCCCCAGTATCCCTGGATTTACAGCCTGCCATCTTTCTGGGGATTAGAATGCAAGTTTAAAGTATGCAACCCCAGGCCTTTTTTTCTATATGGGAGGTGTATGGGGTGCAATGCATTTCTAAGTAAATACAGCCCAAATCTACTTTTCTTGTAAAATGAGGGAAACTTACCTTAGGTATCGGGCCTGGAGGACTACTGGAAATAGTAAGGTATGGGAACGGAGAGAGAGAGCACCAACCATCACACCTTATTAAAGCAGCTATGCCAGCTTCTTCACAAAAGGGCTGACCAGGGGAGGCCAGCCTTGGAGAGGGAGGCTGCCAGGAGAGAAGCAACCTCTGTCCCCTACAGAGTGAGTGTGGGCAGAGCTGGAAGACAAACCCTGCGTCCCTGCTTGCTTGCATGCTTATGCTTGGGTTCCTTTGGGTGGTCAAGGCAAGCCGTGATGGCGTAGGGCACTAGAATGAGAATGCTGGAGGTGTGAAGGTGTAAATGCAAGCCCTTTCCAAGGAGTTTTTCACCCAGCCACAGCTCTTCTGGCTGTAATGAGTCCCAGTGCCCAGGGAGGTGCTGTCTTTCAGGTAGGCGGCAAAACTCAGGCTCCGGCTGATTAGTTTCACTTAAAATCTTGCAGCACATTCCTTCAAAGCCGGCGGTTAGCCCCAGAACGTGGTAGACCCTCCATGTGCATCATCCCATTCATTCTCTTTCATTTTATCCATCTTTTTCAAACACATACAAGGTCCTTAACTGCCCACGATGCATCCTTGCAAACTTTTACTCTCCGCTGTTATGCAGCTACTGCATTCGCTACAGAGGTGGCTATGCATCGGTTCTGATCACCATTCAGGCCCTGGCATCAACAAGGCTTGCTACCACAAGCTTCAGTAGGAGTTATCGGGGTGCTGAATATGGCCCAGTTTCTGAAGCCTGTGGGGGATCGGTAAGGAAGAAATGCAAGGTCCCTGTCTGTCAGTCTTTGCACCGCAGGGCATTGTGAGCATTTGCAACAGGCCTCATTCACCCAGCCCTGAACTGGGGACAGTTTGCTCCCAGAGCCAGAAGGCCTGGGTGATAGGGAGCTTTCGAGGAGACAATCAAATGAACTTGTCCAAGGTTAACTGCACCTCTCAATGGAAATTGAAAAAGCTGTAAAATGGGAGAGGACTCGCTTTAGCCCAGGCTTCCCACAGAAAAGCACCGTAAATAAAAGTCCCCCTGTTTTTACTATACCTCCCTGGGCCATAGAGAAAACGTCATGCCATAAAGGTGACCAACGTGGCAAAGAGTCATTTCGATTTACACCTGCCAGCCATGCTGGGGATCGAGCAGGGTGGGGTAGGCTCACTTCATACTTCCCAAGGTCTCCACGCGCCCAGCTGCTGTTACCGCAGGCACGTCAGGGCTGCTGGCAGCACTATGAGGGAAGATAGAAAGGCCTGCTAAAAACTGCAGTGCCCTGGCTAATAAACGGCGGGCATCGCAATGGCAGCTTCCTCTGAAAGAGCTGTCAGGGAGAAGCAAAAACATCTCTCTCTCTCCTGGGAGATGCGAGTCTCCTGGGGAGGCTCGGGCTGGACTAAAACTGCCATGCATGGGAAGGCCGCAGAGTTCCTGTTGTGCGTGTGCTCTTACTGGCTGCTCTGGGTTTCTGTGGTGTTCGAGTACCTGCTTTCCCTCTGTATTTTACTACCTCCCTCTCCTTTGCTCTCTATCATGCTGTCTATTCCGGGGTGTCTGTCTGGGTAAAATCATTGCTTGGGTGAGAACAACAGGTAGAGCTAAGGTTAAGTAAAACTTTTCATTGTACACCCCTATTTCTGGCCACCTTTATTAAATGCTTCCCCTGCTTAGAGGCTTTTTGTTATTATTTGGGGGGGGTTTTTGAAGCTCGCACACCTCTTTGGGGTCTGAGGACACAGGGAACAAAAACAAATTCTGTTTTAATAGCTCTCAAGTCAGGACAGCTGAGGACAGACAAAGCAATGTGGGCAAAGAGGAGTTCACTTCAGAGAGGGTTTTATGGCCCTGTGCTGACACAGGTCTCCATCACACAAACTTCATCTAAGTACAAATCTCCTTTGTGGGTAAAGCTGAATTAGGTATGACAAATTAGTCATACCTCTCTCATGTTTTCTGTAGGCTTCCCCATGTATCTGGATTAATCCCATTGCTTATATTAGCTTCCTTAACCTGGGGGTAGGACAGTCCCGTCTTCTGACCCACTCCCAGTTTTGGGACAGTGGTTTATTTAGAAAATAGGTCAAGTGTAAAAACATTTACTTAGCATTTTAGACACATGTATAGACAGTAGTTAACCCTCTACTCCCCTCTAAAGGTGTTAGCTGTTTGTAAGCCTCAAGGGCATCCCGTGATCTTAGGTGAGGGGCAGGCAATTATTTTGGGCAGAGGGCCGCTTACTGGGTTTTGGCAGGTAGCTGGGACAGATAAATATTAATTTTCTAAATTTTTTAGGGGCCCCGTGGGCTGGATAGAATGGCCCAGTGGGCCACATCTGGCCCACAAGCCGCATTTTGCCCCCCACACACATCTTAGCCTATAAAAGACTGAGAAGTGACCAGTTCTTATGTCTCTAAGCCTGGCCTCTTTTCTGGCCTGGAAAGAGATTTCCAGCTGGAGTCTGGATGCTCAGGTGCACCTACCAGGAATCCAGTAACCTGCTGCTCACTTCTAGGTCTGCGCTACACAAGAAATATTATTTGTTGCTGACAACTGGTATCAGTCAGAGGTGAACTTCGCTGAACAGGGTCCAACTGCAAATGCAGACCAGGACACACTCGTCAGAAGCCAGGGTTGGTCCTGGGTTGCTGTTTGGTGCTGAGCTGTGTCAGCACCCACTCCGATGCACCTGTCATTGACATCTGTTGTCAACAACAGGTAATTTTCGGAGAGCAAACCAGACTTGAGGATGCTTAAATAAGACATCAATCAATCGCCTTAACTCTTCTTTTCAGCATTACCGCCTTGCGCTCTGCCACATTTCCTAATATGGCCTGTCTACTCACGATCCCCCTGCTCTCCTCAACACTTCCCCATGAACTTTGCAATACCCTCGCCCCATCATCTCTTCAGCTCCAAGCCCAGGCCTCTGCATTCTGCAGCATCTGCCCTCCAGCCCAAGCTCTCTGCAATGTCACCGCTCCTGTCCCTGCGCTGTTTGCAGCTCCCCCTACTCCTTAGTGCTGCCTGGGAAGTCCTCTGCTCCTTCTGCCACCTGTGAGAGCTCTAGGGTTGTATTTCTGGTGATGAGGAGACAATGGAAGCGGTATCTGAAAAACTGTATCAGTCAAACTCAGTGTCTGGACACTAATCCCTCTGCTTGCCCAAGAGCCCAGCCGAGGAATTAAGAAACAGAGACAAAGGAGAAAAACCATTCTGATCATGTTGTGGGGATGTTTAGTCCCATATAGGGAAGGAGGTACAGCACTGTACATGCAATTTCAATTTGCTGGCTCTCTGTGGCGTTACTTTTGATGATGGGGAGACATGCCAAGAATGATTTTAAAAGAAAACAGTGTGAAAGCCGTAGAGGAAATGCAGGCTCTGTGTCTAGCCAGGAGGAGGAAGGTCACAGCAAAATATCTTGCTTTTCCCTAAATATGCGTGCTTTTGTCATTCCACCTCCACACAGGGAACCAGGGGGTGATGTCCAGCATGAAAAGAGACATCACAGGGGGGGGGGGGTGCAAAAATAGCCTAGGCAGGGAGGGACAGAGAGAACAGGGCAGAAGGCAGACTTTGAGTCCCAATTTAGAAGGCACTTGGCTTATCTCTTTTTGGTTCCCCAATATTTTCCCTGCCTAGGCTGGGAAGCTTAACACCTGCAGGACACAACTGCCGCTTTCAAAGCTTATAGGATACACCCTCTGAGAAATAATGCATATTTTCAGGGTGTGAGGCCCTGACCTGGGGAAGTGCAGAGTAAGTGAAATATGGAGCCCAGCAGAGACCATCTAACGTCACCAGGAGCAGAAGACATGTTGGAGGGTGGTGAGGTGGATTTTGATGGGACTAGGGACTCTCTTTGGGGTCAGAAACAAAGTAAAGGATCTTAGAAATGATATTGAAAGCAAGATTTAGAGAGGGTTTTATAGGGGGCATCTTTCGAAATTCATGCTTCTTTTGTCTAGGTCAGTGGTACCCAAACTATGATCTACTGGTGGTAAATGGTCCATGGATCCCACTAGCCCCTTCAGCCATAGGTTTTATGATAAGGGTCTTGATAGTCAGAAAAAAATTTAAAGGTTGACAGTGATCTGTTAATCCAAAAAATTTGGGAAACTTTGAGCTTGGCCTTTTTAACATCTTTATATTTATCTCGATGATGGAGAGGGCAGTTATCCAGGCAGAATAGGGAGGTCTTTGAGCTGGGGCTTATGGCCTGATTGTAGAATGAATAGGGTCAGATGAAGATGTTTGCCTTCCTAGCTGCTTAGATGAGTTTTTTATTCTTCCCCCATCCAGGGCACATGGGCCGGATGCTATGATCCTCGTGGACGGACAGCCACGGCAAGCCAAAGGAGAGCTGGGGCTGTCTCAGATGCTACACATCGCTAGCCAGATTGCCTCAGGAATGGTGTATCTCGCCTCCCAGCACTTTGTCCACAGAGACCTGGCAACCAGGAACTGCTTGGTTGGAGCCAACCTGCTAGTGAAGATCGGAGACTTTGGGATGTCCAGAGATGTCTACAGCACTGATTACTACAGGGTAAGGCAACTGCAGCAGCAGCAGCTGATGGTCAGAGCAAAGGGAGGCTAGGTAATGCTACAGCGACTCACATGCTTGCTTATTCCCTCAGCCATTTTCTCTCCCACTGATACATGCACACACCTGTACATCAGACATACTTTTGTGCACGCTCACTTCCAGACAACTCTACCGTTACTACTTATATGCCAGTGCTCCCTTATCACCCCTATGTCCAAGTGCATTCATTTACAAAACGTTTACTTAGTCTTTTCCACACTCAGCTCTCTACAGCATAGTCCTTGCACAGCATGCACACGCATACTCGGTGCTCTTTCTGTTATACAGACACTGTCGATCCACTCTGAATTCCTGTTTCTATTAAAAGAAAAGACATTGACAAATTGAAGGTAATCCAGTGGAGGGTGACAATGATGATGAAAGGATTGGAGGTCATGACCTGCAGAGTTAGATTAAAGAAACTTAATATGTGGGACTTAAGGAAAAGGCAACTGAAAGAGGGACTGATACTGCATAAAATATGGGAGCAGAAATAATAGGCAATTTAGGTTTGACCTCCCCTTCCAACGGGGACATCATTTAGACAACGGAATAATTTGCCAGAAGTAGGTTGCCGAGGCCCCATCATTAATGAAACTCAGGAGACCAGATAAAAAAAAAATGCTTGGGTTTCATGTGGAAGATAATCCTGTCCGAGTCCCCAAGGAGGGATTCAATGAGTTAGAAGCACTGTCCTGGCCTTATCATCTGAGATGTATGTTTGTACTTTTCCCTGCTCGCACACACTGCTTGTCAGATTATTTGGTGGTGCATCCTCTGGTGGAGGTAGAGACTGCTGGTAGGGAAAGGTGCATTGTGTCTAAATATGGCAGATGACATAGACTTCAAACACCCATCACGCGGTTTCTATAACCAGCATGGCAGGAGCACCATCTTCCCACGGGTATCGCGCAAATTGGAGAACTGCCAGGGAACGGGAATGACAGAAAACTTCAAGAATCAGAGAGCCAGGTTAAGCCTTTAGCACTCATTGTAATGGCCTACCTGCCTGGTCCCATGTCTCTTGACTGGCAAGTAGAAGTTAGTAAGTCACATAGTATCAGTGCAAAACCATTACATATATCTCCTGCAGTGTCTTACCACACCCTCTGTTTCTAAGTGGGCCTTTTCCTGCATCACACATGTAACCTCATAGGGCCAGAGCAGCTACCTGAGTGAGAGTGGAGCATTAGATCAGCAGAGTGTCCCAATGTCACATGATTTCTTTTTTTTCTCAGAAGTATCATTTTTTTATTGGTTTTAGGATTCAAAACTTCACAATTAATTAGTCCAAACATTACAATTTCTACTACTACTTCTCTGGCCCTTTCCATATGGGAAGCTGAATACTGCTCCCCAACAGGTTAGAGGCCATTCTTGTTGCTCTGATGTTCTGAAGCTAAGTGACATGCCTGCGGTCATGTTGCGTTCAGTGGCAGAGGTGGGACTGCACCCCGTGCTCTTGATTCCCACATTTTTCTCAGTGCCAGCAAGCATGTCCTTCTGGTAGGTGGGAGCAGACCCCAGGAGCCCCATTTCTGGTGTCTCTTCAGTGATAGCAAAGCATACCCTGCCTTGTTGCTGCGATCACTTCTGATTCCTGTCCCTTATTCTAATTACCGTTTCACATGCCACCCTCACTGCCCTCCTTTCCATCTCTGCTCTTCTACAGCGTAGCAATCCTCTGAGCTATCCAGTGTATGAGCCTTGCTTTGCCCTGGATGAACTGTGAACAGGGTGCAAGGATACGGTTGGGAAATGGTGTTTGGCATTTCTGAACCTGCTGCTACCTGCAGCATTCATCCTTCTAGACAGGAACCTAGGAGGGACTCCACTCCAGTGGCACAGGATGGGGCTTAGGGGCCCTACTCTGAACAGTTACCCATTTGGCTCTGACTCTAGAGAGAAGGACCACTGAATTTGCCTGTGAACGCAGGGACCGAAAACAACTGTTTAGCAACTGTTGTACCTCTGTGTCACGAATCTGTCTTTGGATTTTTATTCCTAACATTTCTTGCATGAAAACTGGATCTTTGTAGCCTTGAGTTCAGCTGCTCCTGATTTATGTCCATCATGACGGACTAGTAGACATTGCTCTGGTCATCACAAATGGTTGCTCTTGTGCCAGTAGGCAGACCAAGAACCCAAGCCTGGAGTCTGATTGGGTCCCATCCTCTCGCATGGACCAGCTACAAAGGAGCTGATGAGTACAGCCTTTCAGCTCACCTTCAGAGTGTCTGTGATCCCCGTGTTGAATTATTTGAGCCTGTTTCTCCAGGTCTGCATGGTACATCTTGCTGCTGGGGCACGACGCTCCGTGCCTTTTGGTAGGATCCCAGGGTGGAGTTGTGTTTCAGGTGATTTCTATAAAATACGGCTCTGTGTGTCCATGCTGCCTCCCCAGGAGAGCGCTGTAATTTATCATTTCCCGGGGACGCTGTGAAGGATGCCATCTGAAAGCTGACATGACGTGACAGGTCTGAAGCTCTCTGCAGACTGTCGCTTACTTAAATCTGTCAGGCCGGTGTGTTTGCTCTTGCCCAGTGCTGACAAGTGCAGATCGCTGGGCGTGCAGGATGTATGACCGGGTTCCAGGCTTGGGATTAACTCCTAGCTGCTTCCTTTCTTTTCCATTTTTAATCTTTTAAAAGAAAGAAAAAGCACCATCTGGCTCACGCAGAAGTGGGATGCAAAACACTTCACAAAGGTGAACTGTTTAATTTCCTGTTACACGTTTGGATACAAAAAACAAACATTTGCGCAACAAAGGCAACAGAGCCATTTGTTCCTCTCTCCCCGTAACGCTCACTGTGTTCTGCCTGAAGACAGATGCGTCCTTTTCCATGTGGACCGCTGAGGGAAACCATCAACTGCTGCTTTTGAACTGCTTTGACAAAACAGGGTTGTTTGTGTGGGGCTGATGTGGGGTGTGGGTGGGGGATTGGGTGGCTATAATGAACAGATCTGAAATAAAACCTTGGATTAGAAAGTGAGTAGGGGTGGGGAGGGGAGAAGCATCCTGGGGTCCACACAGTGATTGTGAATTGTGGGAGACGCCGGAGGAGCAGTTTTGTAAAGCACTGGTTAATGCTGGTTTCATTTGGGGGTTTATTCCCTGCAGGGTTGAAATAGCAAGGAGAGAGGGGTGCCGGTGAGGACTGAGGTGATCTAGGAGAGTTGCATGGGGAGCCAAAGATAGAAAGAGCAGAGGGCATCAGGGGTATCAGTGGAGCAATCCACAAGGTCAGGGACTGGGATTGCAAGTGCTGCCAATGAGACTCAGCTGCGGCTGAGCAAGAGTGAGCTAGCAGGCCAGAATTGAGTTTGGATCCCAAGAATCAGATGGCTTTCTCATTCACACTCCTGTCTTACGCACGCAGAAAAAGACTTTGCATCCGCCATTCGTTAGGAGTGTTAGTCTCTCCGCTGAAACCAGTGGCTTTCTGTCCATCAAATGGGGGAGATACTACCACAGTATCATGAACATGCTCAGCAACTGAAGAGTCAGTGGTGTTTTAATGAGCGGTGAACAAACATCTAAAGTTCTCCTCGATTTAGACGCTTCCCCAGGTGTCTATAAGTCCCTTATGTCTAGGTATCTCATAGGAAGTATTGTGTGATAGCTGCACAGGCTGTCAAAAGGCACAGAGTAGCATGGAGATCAAAAGTGAGCCCTTTTGTGGCTCAGGATTTATTTAAGGCTGTAGAATAAATTCAGCTTGTTTCCTTTTTGTTTTTCTCTCCCTGTGTGGTTAATCCAAGAGCAAATGCAAATGACATCTCTGATGCCTGAGGATAGTGTTGTCACTGTCCTTAGTAGGAGGCTGAAGGAAAGGCCGTGTTTCTAAGCCTTTGGAAGCAATTCCATTCCTGAAGTCTATGTAGCCTGCATCAAATGGTCCTACTGTTCCTGTTGCTACAGCAGGAGAGAAGAGAGGGAGTTCTGTACCATCTAAATCAGGGAAAACCTATTCTGACACCTCTCACAGCTTGTCAGTCTGTTACTCCTTCACAGAAAGGAGGCTTTTGGCCCTCCTAGATCCCCATGACAAATTCTGTCCCCCAATTCCCAATGTACCTAAGTGTACCATTCTCCAGAGCTTCACCCAGTGGCTGTTATGAGTTGTAGTTGATCTCACTGAGCTGGGAGGAGTAGCGGGTGTGCTGGAGGGTTGGGTTAGGATTCAGAGAGACCTCAACAGATTGGAGGATTGGACCAAAATAAATCTCATGAGGTTCAATAAGGACATGTGCGAAGTCCTGCACTTAGGACAGAACAGTCCCATGCGCCGGCTGGGGTGGACTGGCTGGGCAGCAGCTCTGCAGAAAAGGACCTGTGGGTTACGGTGGACAATAAGCTGAGTATGATCCAGCAGTGTGCCCTTGTTGGCAAGAAGACTAACGGCATACTGGGCTGCATCAGTAGGAGCATTGCCAGCAGGTCAAGGGAAGTGATTAGTCCCCTCTTTCTGGAACTGCAGGGAGGCTGCAACTGGACATACTAGAGTACTGTGTCCAGCTTTAGTCTCCCTAAAACTTACTACATCCTTACTACAGAAAGGATGTAGACCAGTGGTTTTCAAACTTTTTTTCATTTGCAGACCCCTAAAAAACTTCAAATGGAGGTGCAGACTCCTTTGAACTGTAGGTGTGGGTATTCACATACTTCTCAATGATTATAGTCATCTTTTGTGGTCCCCTTAGACATAGTCTATGCACCCCCAGGGGTCTGTGGACCACACATTGAAAACCACTGATGTAGACAAACAGGAGAGAGTCCAGTGGAGGGCAGCAAAAATGGTTAGGAGCCTAGGAAACATGACTTCTGAGGAGAGGCTGAGGGAACTGGGCTTATTTACTGTGCAGAAGAGAAGACTGAGAGGGGATTTAATAGCAACCTTCAGCTACCTGAAGTGGGGTTCAAAAGAGGATGGAGCTGAACTGTTCTCAGTGGTGGCAGA